ATTTCTTCATGTACATCTAAGCTGTATGTAAATAAAAGTGCCCGTGTGACAGCTGGGACACAGTGTGACTAAGAACTCTCTTTTTGTTCTTAACTTATGGCTTTAAAAAAAAAATCGAGATATATATCTTATATCGCCATCCAGCTAAAAAATATCGAGATATGAATTTTGGGTCATATCGCCCAGCCCTAGTATGTAGTTCTATGAACAACTAAGTACAGTTTATTGAACACTGGCTTCAGAAATCAGGTGAAGAGATCAGATTTATTTTAATGCATTTGGTTTGGAGTTATATACAGTCGTGTGCGTAGTCATCTTTTGTACCAGTGCACTGTGATTTTGGTTTCCACAGCAGAATCAAAGTTCTTACTTTAGTTCTAGATCTGTAAAATATCTTGGGATTCTCCATTTAAATTGTCTGCCATATGTGACATGTGTTTGACTGCAGGTTTAAAAAAGGATGCGTTGAACAGTACTATCAAAACTGCTAGTAGACTTGTACCATCAGTGAGCGTGTAAGCCCCACATTCATTTTTTTTCTGAAAGTACAACTCCTCTCTCTTAATTTGGGTGCAGGATCTTCTAGTTAAAAACACAGGGAGAACGTTCTTCAAAAGGTTTTCGTTCCTTGGGGGAAAGTTCCTGTGGAAACACACATTGCTTCCGTGTAGTGCAGAGCATTGAGCTTTTTGTCTCAGTGTTGACTTTTAGTCTTGCCACTTAATTCATCCAATTTGAATTTTCCACACTAGTGATTTCTTTTGAACTGTGATTTATCCGTTATATCACCTTTAAAATGGATACAATATAGGTTAAATTACTGAATCAATTGGTCGTAACTTTGTATTGTTGGATTAGGGCCTAGTGGATTAGTCCATTGGGTTTTTACCCTGATAAATCAAGACTTCAAATGTAGGTAATGCAGAGTACTACTAATTTATACAAAATAGTTCAAGTGTGGCTTCATCTTTTGTCTTTTCCCATTTGGTGTATTTGCTGTGAAATCCTGGCAGCATACAGCATCTTTGATTTATTGTCTGATAAAACCAAACCATCCCCAGAGAGCATGTTTAAAGGGAATTATTACAAATCCAGGCTCTCCTCCGTGCATGTTTAATGATTTTCCCTACATTTAATCTCAGGGAAAGTAGGTTCTGATTTCATTGTACTAGGAAAGTCTTATCATGCTGCTGCGGCAAAGTGTTAAAGCTCAAGTGAAAGTAATTTAGCCAGACAGAATGTTTGACAGGTATTTTCTTTGTGCACTGTTGAATTACTTTACACACATCCTGCATGTAAAATTCTTTGCTCCCTTACAGACACTAACACATACACCTGCCTGATTGTTATTTCTCCCTGTGTTATCTTTTCTGTTTTACCTTTGGCACTCGCACACAGAAATGATCAGAAATTCAGCATCCTGTCAATATTCTTTTTCTTTGTTTTTCTTTTCTGTTTTATAGAATATCAATTTAGGATTTAGAAAGTCGTCATTGAGGCCACAGTTCACCTTAAAATCTAATATACATTTGTTTTCTGCACGCAGTTAGCTAATGTTCCAGTCTTTCTGATAACAGCACTGAATTTTGCCGTGATCACACACGCAGGCACAGGTGCACCCTCACAAAGGGAAACCAACACTAGTTATGGTTTCAAGACTGGTTATGATTTCACATTGTTCACTCTGAAGTGTGCATCTGTCTGTCATTGTAGACTGTGAGGTGTCAGCACTTAGTAGAAAAAGAAAGGGGATTCAGGATCCAGCACATGCACTCACATGCACACAAACTTAAACACAGGAGCCTTCATTTCCTGGAGATTGTTATTCACTTCATCGTTTCCTTGTCTTTGCTAGCCTTCACTTGGTGAACCTTTATGTTTTGACAGTGTGGAGATTGCATCTCATGTTGTGAATACTGACAGAGTGACAGGTCTGAAGTTCTTCTAGTGCCATTTTCATTAACCTGTCTTCTTCATTGATTGGAACAAAGCAATACTTTCTAAGTTTTTAAGTGCTTATAGGGCTGAAGTAGGTATATAGGATAGCATAGAATAGAACAGAATAGAATAGCTCTTTTTTGTCATTGTACATGTACAACAAAATTAAGAGTACTCCACACGAACTGTGCAGGAGTAAAAAAATAAAAAGTAAACACATCAGGAATAAATAACTAGAGGAAGTCTAGAGGAATGTGTACAAAACAATAGAAAGGCACACAATGGAGAGCAAAGTGCTCAGAGTGGCCTGAGTGATGAGGGTTACTCAGACCATGGCACAGATTGGAGAGGTAGGCACGGGTGGGGTGTGGGGATAGTGTTTGTTGACAGTGCGAATGGCCCAGGGGAAGAAGCTGTTTGTGAGGCTGGAGGTGTGGGACCCTATTGACCTGAGGTGCCGACCAGAGGGCAGCAGGTAACAGGTGGTGCAAGGGGTGCAAGGGGTCACCTGTGATGGCCCTCGTTTTTCTGAGACAGGAGGATCTGGCAATGGTCTCCAGGGGTGGCAGAGGGCAGCCAGGGATTTTTTTGTCTGTGTTAATTTACCCTCTGCACAGACTTCTTGTTCTCAGTTGTGGACCATGCGTACCAAACAACCAGGCAGTAGAAGAGCATTATCCCCATCTGAATAATGGGCCCAGCATAAAAGCTAATTTTTTTCCACATATGTCTCTCATTTTGTTTTTTTCCCCCTTTTTCCTTCTTGTTTTTTGTTTATTTGTGTATAAAAGTCAACAGTTTCCTTAAGACAACTAAAGATTATTATCATGGGTCAGGTCCATGCTAACTTGCCACTGTCTTGTGTTGTTTATGCTATACTCAACAAGAAAAATTCAAGTCATGCCAAAATTATAATTATTATTAGTATATTAATTATGTATCAAGTTATAATTATGGAATGCAATGGAGACTACCAAAAATCTATTTGGTAGCCATCGATCAGATGGCCAGAACCTTCACCTCTGACTGCCATCAACCCCACTAAGCACCGGCCCAAACGCATGCCTAGGCAGGCCTCAGGCAGACCCAGGACTTGCTGGAGAGATTAGATCTGCTGGGGAATGTCTTGGTCTTGTATCTTCATGGGATAGATTCAACAAGGTGCTGGAAGTAAACTTCAGAGATTTTGGTCCATATTGACATGATAGCATCAAACAATTGTTGCAGATTCATCAGTTGCACATCCACGATGCCAATCTCCTGTTCTGCTACATCACAAAAGTGCTTTGTTGGATTGAGATCTGGTGACTGTTTGATCATCTGTTGGTCAGCATAGGGAACTCATTTTCATGTTTAAGAAACCAGTTTGAGATGATCTGTGCCTTGTGACATGACTCAAAATCCTGTTGGAAACAACAATCTAAAGATGGATACACTATGGCCATAAAGAGACATGGTCAGTAACAATACACAGGTAGCCTGTGGCTTTACTTTATGAGACTTAATTGGTACTAAGGTACTATTCCCCACAACATTACACCACCACCAGCCTGAACTGCTGATAAAAAGCAGGATGTATCCATGCTTTCATGTTTTTCGCAACACATTCTTACACTAACACAAATGTTGCAGCAAACAGACTCATTAAACCAGGCAAAGTTTTCTCAATGTTCTATTGTCCAATTTTGGTGAGCATGTGTGAATAGCAGATAAAGTTTCCTGTTCTTAGCTGACAGGAACTGCACCCTGTATGATCTTCTAATGCTCAAAGTCAAAAAAATTACTATTCTTTCCCATTCATCTGCTCTGTTTTTCAACTTCATAAGGTCATCTTGACCATTTTTACATGCTTGTAGTTCAAGTTGAGTTCTGTGTGCCCTGGGGGTTGGTGACATGTAATTGGCTGATTAGATATTTGCAGGTTTACCTAAACAAGTGAGTGTGCATTTATTTTATTTAATATATTTTTGCCTTTACTATTATTTTTCAGTGATTTTAAAAAAGTAAAAAAAAAAAGAAGTAAAAATGTCATATTTTTATGAATGGTCTTCAAACTTTACAACAATATACTACACCTTCAGGGACATTGGTACCCAGGTTGGGGAAGCATTTGTCCTTGACCTTCATTGTAAGGACCCAAGCTCAAAGTAATATTTAATAATAAATGGTATGGAGAAAGCAGTAAAACACTCATTTAATTTTTTTCAATACGACGCCCTGCAACATCACAGTGAAATATATATACATATATATATTTATATATATGTATATATTTGCTCCAGTCTTGCCACATGATATGCACAATGACAGTGTTCTTGCTGCACCACTTGTTCCATGTACAATAGTAAAATAGGATTTAGTCAGTCCTAAGTGTTGAACTGTGTGAGGATAGCATTCTGAGTGACAGATTTATTATTGCTCTATTCTTCACAGTTTAAGTCACAGCTTCCTTGGTTCACCATCTGCTTGGCTCACTGAGTTGCTCTGTTCCCTCTAGTCTTGTCCCCCTCTCTTTCTCCACATTTAAGTTGTCACGACTTCTTAGAGCACTAATGGGCTGTTAATCTCCATCTCTCATCAGTTCTGTTCTGTTACGTTTTGTTCTCTTTTCTCTTCCCTCTTCCTTTCTTCCCCTTCTCCTGCAGTATATCACCAGGAGCACCTTCTTTGCTGGCTCAGCACTTCCCCTCTCTTTCCCCCTTGCCTTTCTGTAATGACACTGCAGCATTTAGGAGTGTTTGTGTGTGTCCTTGTGGAAAAAAGTTGTTGGTGTGGCAGTTTTTTGATATAGATATTGCAGATTGTTTGGATAACTGTAGACGGATGAGACGGATAGCCATAATGACAGGTAGAGCAGAAATGGCGAGATGAAAAAGTGCAGCTCTTGGCCCTTCGGAGAGGTGTTGGCAGCGTTTTTTCCTCAGTTCACTGCACATTAGCTTAACAAGGCTGAGAACAAATATACTGACCACAGTTGAACACTGTTGAACTAAGAGTAGAGTGTAATGAGATCCTTTAAAAAGCTCTTAATAAGCTCTTTTTTTTCTCTTTTCTCTCTGCAGATGGAAAAGTGTATGCGCTGGGGGGCATGGGTGCAGACACAACACCACAGGCCCTGGTTAGGGTGTATGATGCAGAGAAGGACCAATGGCACACAATGACATCTATGCCCACACCGCGGTATGGAGCCACGCCCTTCGTAAGAGGAACCAAAATCTACGTGATGGGTAGGAAATACATCATGCAGATGTTATACTGCTAGCATGTGCGTGTTAGCATATACTGACATTTACCTTAAAGCTGTAGAGAAATACATGACTTCCTGCCAGTGGTGCTCCATTAGGCTGATCTCTCTCCTTTTAGTCTCAGACAGCGTTGTCTTAAAGCTCCTTAACTGTCATTTAATATGTGCACCCAACCTTTAGATCACTGCCATCTTGTGTTACCATTTGGTATTTCTACTGAAAGCTGTTCTTACATCAGTCTCAAAGTATAGTTGTCTGTCTGTGAGAGTGTGTCTATCTCCTGTTTACAATGACAGAAGCTGGGCAAGAGGCCAGCAGTTATTTTTCTGGTGCTTTGCACATGCACATTGTGGACAAACTGCTGCTGGTCTGCTTTTACCACGCTCAGATCAGAAACACAGCTAGCATTATCAACTAAATAAGCTTCTGTACTTTAACTTTGTAACAGATGAATTTCCTCTTGCAAACCACCCTGCCTATCATGCATGATGTAGAAAAGAAGAAGTATGAAAAACACATTAATAAGGAAAGCTGTGACAATGAGTAAGCAGGGAACGCAGCTCTGACCATGTCAGGTCTAATAAAACAGGTGAACAGGCGAACAGGTGCAGGTTCAGCAAAGACTGATGTCTGAACCTGCTGTTTTGCCAAAATTCTACCTTCAGGTTTAATCCATATTTTAATACCACTAGTTGATATTGACAGTTAATCATTTCACGTACCTCTTATTAAATTCATATTTTAATATACTAGGCCTGTATGTTCATTTCGTCACTCATCCAAGTGACTTCTTCAGTCTCAGCTCACTGCAGGTTTCCCCAATCTTTTAAACAGAACATTTGCATAAGGACTGAAACTGGCACCAGTGCCAAACAATGGGCTGGGAGGTTTGTTTCTTGATCATTAATATGCAAAATGGCATGACCATCGATCAACAACCAATGATCAAAGACCAATCATCAATGGCCATGAGTACCATTCACAGATAGTTGAGGAATGGTTGCAATCACAGTATTTTAAGATAGTGAAAGATATAGCCTTAGGCCCCCTCCTCGATTCAGAGATGGTCTTTCACTTTTCACATAAATGGTCTCTTTGACTCTGTGCTCAAACCAGCGTTCCTCCCTGTCCTGGATGTGCACATCCTCATCAATGAAAGAGTGTCCACTGGCCTGTAGGTGTAAATAGACTGCAGAGACCTGGTCTGACAAGGTGGCTATTCTGTGTTGTGCCATCTGCAAAGCCAGAGGTTGTTGCATGGCAACCTCCTGGCACCTAACAGCATACACTACATTACTCTGTTTGTGCCGTGAGACCGAATACTTGGGGTGGACAATTTTTGGCGCAGCATGTTTTAGGTTTTGAAAGCCACAGAGTGTTTAGAGAAAATGCATCTCAGCTCTTTTCCCATGCTCCTGACACATAAGGGATCACTAAGGGTTTGTGCTTAGGCAGCAGTTGTTTCTTCTGGATTGCCTGGAGCTCTCTTTAGGTGCCTTCCCAGCTTCCCAGACAACAAATGTCCAGGTGGGATAACCAACTTTACTCAGGGAGTTCTTGATATGAATACAAAGCATGTTCCCATCATTACAATGGATTTTTAGTGAATGTGAAATTAGTCTTTTTCATTGGTTTTTCCCTTGGACCTCCCACAGGGATGTCATTTTTGTGCAGTTTCTTAATTATTGTTGAATCATGAACTTTGAGCTTAGCTGACACAAGTGCGGCCAACATATATCTAATTGTTGTTCTGGGTTCTTATCTGACCTCCTGGATGAGTCACTGATGCATCCTTGGAGTAATTTTGGCAGACCGACCACTCCTGGGAAGTTTCACCAGTGTTTCAAGTTTTCCAGTTATAGGATAAAGGCTTTCTCTGTCATTTACTCGAGCGCCCTAAACCTTAGAAATGACTTTGTAACCCATCAATATTTTTTTGTTTAAAGTAATTGGAGGTTATTTCAACACTTAAAATTTTAGTGTTTAAAATGTGTTTACATTTCATTTCCAAATGAACTCTGTGAGTTTTGAGACACAGCAGTCATCTGTCAAATGCCCCCAAAAGATTCACATGTCCTCTTGTGCTGTTAGAGGGTTGATTAATGGGTCACTGTAACATGGAGACCTTTGTTTCAAACCAGTCTTTTTAATTATTACTTAATAATTACTTTTCGACAAATTAACATAAGCCTATGCTATGGTATACTGCATATTACTGTAATGTTGTTATTATTGGCAACAAAGAAGCAATTTCTTAATCCAAACCAAATGACTGTGCCTAAATCTAACAGTTTTGTCACATATCTGGATAAGAGTGATCTTTATTGTTGGTGGTTGATGTCTACTGCTGGTATTGGTCATATCAGGGGGGTAAATGACCTAAATAGTCACCTAAAGGTCTTTTTGTACCTTAAGCTGAGCTGATGCTTCCCTTATACCTCAGGTATATGGAGCATAAATATTGGACTGACGTTCTGTTGGTAGGTAGAAGTTTGTCAGTTAATAAGTTTTAATCTTGCTTGACTTGATGGAAAAACAAATAAAAGTGAAATTAATACAACAATGCAAAAGTGTTCTGATACAAGAAACACTGTGTTTCTTGTATCAGTGTTTCCTGTGTTTTAAAAGATTAATTGGGGAATATCCGTTTGCCTCGTAATGAGCTCTCCCACACATGAGTTATAAAGTGTGAGAAAACAGAGAGAGACGAGGTCAAAGCAGGTGGCGTTCAGATGGTGTTCATTTATCTGATGACTCAGTGTAACACTGATATATATATGGTGAAGAAATCAGTTTATCACAGGTCAAACAACAACATCCATCACCCTGACAAATGATTGCTGTCTGCCACAAAGTGACCTCCCTTTCATCATCAGGTAAACAAGCCGACATTTGGGCAATGTGGCTGCAAACCGAATTCTATATTCACGTAAAAACAACAGATGTGCAGGCGCATCCTGCACTCTTTTAGCACTGCATCATGGCTCAGGGGGTTGGGGATCGCATCTGTAACCGGAAGGTCGCCGGTTCGATCCCTGGGCTCTCTGTCCTGGTCGTTGTGTCCTTGAGCAAGACACTTTACCCTACTTGCCTACTGGTGTTGGCCAGAGGGGCCGATGGCACGATATGGCAGCCTCGCTTCTGTCAGTCTGCCCCAGGGCAGCTGTGGCTACAACTGTAGCTTGCCTCCACCAGTGTATGAATGTGAGAGTGAATGAATAGTGGTATTGTAAAGCGCTTTGGGTGCCTAGAAAAGCGCTCTATAAATCCAATCCATTATTATTATTATAAGAAATGGCATAGCACCTTAAATGTAATTAAGTGTCTGCTACCTATGATGTAACCTAACACTGAACACCACGGCCACCGGTCCAACACACAACAATACTTTTGTACTTTTAGGCAGCAGGCATCATATGTCAAACTGCACAGTGTTTGTGTGTTTGCAGATAATTGTTGAGCAGTAAGAAATACAGCATTTGAAATAACGTGTTAAAAAAAATGCAGTCACTTTATGCTCTTCAATACTATCTCAAATGAATCAGGCTAACTTTATCCTGTGAAGATTGTCCTATAAATGATGTCTTTTGTATGTTATTGTTTGCTTCATTTAACTTAAAATCAGTTTGATGTTTGCAGGCATATTATGACAGGAAATAATAACTCCCACCACATGTCTTAAAGTTTATTGAAACGTTCCCGTTTTAAAATTGTGAGGAGCAGAAAGTAGAGATTTTGTGTTAAAATGTAGTGAGTAAAAACAAATGGCAAATAATGTAAAATAAATTCAGAAGTACAGATATCAATTAAATATGACACTTCTAAATAATTATAGTAACAAAATATGTGTACTTCATCTACTTTCCACCTCTGCTTGGTGTCCTGGACAACAAATGTTTGCATATCAGCTGCTTTAGTGGAGAAGAGGAAAGATTGGCTTCTTCTTTAAAACCAACTCCTAAGTTTCAACAAAATCACATGGTATAGTAAAAATAAAAACAAAAAAAAAAAAACAAAAACAAACAAAGAAAATCTTTAAGTTTTAAGTAGAAGAGTAAACTCATTCATGTTGGTGTGGCTGCAGCTAATGATGCCGGGAAGTGCATGGGACAGAGAGCGATGACTAGTCTAAAGTGCAGCCACGTGGTCTGTGCACAGATGGGAGTTTAATCATATTATATCACATTAGACACAGACTAATTTGTAATATACCAAGAGAATATAAATAATTTATGCCGTTTTTTTAAGCTGTCTCTCTCTCTCTCTCTGTGACTGTAATGTCTTCTCGCTGGGATTGCGTTAAAGCTTTACCGTACCTTGCACATTCATGCTGCTTCTACAGCTGCTGCTGCACTTGAGGGGGTTGTTCTCTTCAGTGGGTGCTTGAACCTCTTTTCATTTAAATTCCCTGTGTTCCCAGTCAACAGTGGCCTTGCTGGCAAATGACGTAACTCACGAGGCTTCCCAGCGCTTTGAAATTCGTGTGCCTACCTGCCTACGTGTGTTCACAGTACACATCAAGGATTCTGCAGCAGCGTCGTGGTTAGCAATCAGCACACGTGCAGCTGAAAAACAGTTGTCAGCAAAGTGAAGGATGACGAAAAAGATTATTCAGTGAAACAAATACACTAGTGTAAAAACACACACACAGCACTGGATGAATACTGCACCACACTTCATCAGCAGCAAATAATGATAAAGAATCTAAATCATGACAAAACCAAACATCTTCATTTTTACCACTGAATTTACTGCATCAGGCCAACAAGTAAATCATAAATGGTGTTTAACCAGCCAGCAGTCTGTACTTTCACCCCCAGTAAGAATCTTGTATAGCTGATGAATTACTGTAACAACAAACATCACAAATCTCAGAATGCACACCATTACACGGCAGTTTTCCTGCTTATTCTTTTTTTATTGGCAGCTTGGGAGACATCCAAGTGTTGGCTTCTGCTGGAGGCAAAAGTGAGAAATGCTTACAGCAACATACATATACCATTTCAACCATTTGTTACTGAACCACAATGTAATATATATTCCTTATCAGCCAATGTGGAACACAGAATGGACATGAATAAAGAGCAAACAATATGAAAGAGGACAACAGCAATCTGGCACAGCAGTAGCTAACTTACTCATAAAATACAGTTAAACAAGATGTTTTAGTTAATAATAGCTACAACTGAAAAATGTATATTAGTATATTTGCTCTAATGAATGTCTATGTAAATTATTTTTAACACATGAAACAAACAGTTTTCCTTAAGATTTACAATGTGTAGGTATTTATTTAGTCATTTATGCGCTAAAGGTGGATCTCCTGTCTCCTCCTTACTTCTTTTAAATTTTAAATTTGTTGACAATTGACATGACAGTTTTGATCAGCAAATAGCTAATATTGCTACACCGATAGTATTGGTTATATTAAAAAAATAAGGAAGGCTCTATAATTCACATTTGTAGAATGCACTCCACACACACATTGTTTATGCTCAGAGATGTCTCGTTTATTTAGGGTTCTTTATGCAACAACCCACAGTCTGGTCAGCGCTGGTCTCAGCTTTTCCAACAACCCCGTCTCTCGTCTCCTGCCTCACTAAAAAGGGGAAAAAAAAGACTCATCAGTCCAAATACAGCCAGCTGTGTTCTCACCTGCCTCCCCGGCATTGCCCCCTTGAGCTCACTGCACCACTCCTCCCCTGCAGTTGAGCCAGGGAGCACGCCTCTGCCACTATGTTATTTTTATGTTACCCTTACCCAAATGTTTACTGCGACTTTACTGCACCTCTACAGTGCTAACATGCTAATGTTTTTCAGATACCCACCTGAGACCCAACCTATTCATTTATTCTCTGTGTAATATCATATAGAAGTCTGAAGGTTAGGATTTGAAATCACGTGCGATCATATTTCACCAACAAAGTATACCTGGAGAAATTTAGCTTATGCCAATACTGGCTAGCTTGGTAAGCAGTGATGCTGAATGCGATACTAATATCACCTTAGGAGGCCATTTGATGCCCTGCAGGTTTTGGTGCTTGCAATAGTTTTTTAGTTTTGGATGCTTTAGTCTTTTTTTTAAATAATTGCTATGTTAATTATGCCAATTTAAAATGTTATGATGTTAAAATGGTTACAAAGCCCAGACACAGATTCAGTGGTAGCTAATGTTTAATTAGGTTGGTGGAGTTTACTGTTGCTACATTAACATATTTTAATGGATGTAATTTCACTTTTTCCTGTCTCTGTACAAATGTAGAGCCAAAGTATGGATGCTTGTTGTCTTCCACTGGTGACAGACTGTAATTTTAACCTGTACAGTAGTGACTGGTTGGAGATGTGGTATTGATTGGTATTGGTATTACTGATATTGGTCTTTCACTCCCTAGGACTGTTGTGGATGCTCACAAAATGATTATTAATGATTAGCAGGATTAGTATTTTCTCACTAACTAGCTACAAATAATACATAGATAAATTGTGTTTGGAGCTTGTCAGCTGTTGAAGCAGACAACAGTGAACCACACAGTTCATGAAATAGTCCTTTGATGCTCTTACATCCCGATCCCAAATGGTGGTCTGCAAAGCTCCTTCATTCTCAGCATCTGACAGTCATAACAATTAACCAAGTTGCTAATAAAAAAAGAGCTATTCAGAAAATCAGTTAACCGTAATTCATCTTCGTTAAAATAACCTAGTAAGAAAATGGAACAAATGAAAATATTAATAATACAGTTAGGCTGATTATGCATGGGTCTCCCGCTATATGATTGTACCTTAGCGCTGGCTTCTAGCTATGGAGGCTTATGAAGCAACGGGCTAAAGACTAATGGATTCTTTTGTTTTTTTTTGTTTTTTTTTCATTGTCCAGATTTCTGTCTGTTATGTATAATCTACATAACAGAGATACATCTGTTATATAGATTATACAGATGGCTTATTTTTGCTGAGCTGAATTTGGTTTAGAATGCAGCTCAGGCCCATGATTATATGTAGATTTGTGCAAAAGCTGTCTCCTTCAGTAGTGCAGCAGTCCAGATTCTCTGTTTTACACTTTTGCCAAAATGTTAGTCTGTGGAGTATTGCAGCAACACTAAAACCATATGTGAACTATGTACTCTCAAGGAAAACCATACACAGTAGATTCTGCTCCAATCAACCAAATCTTTTGCATGGAATCTCTTTTTCTCACATGTAATGCTTCCCACACAGTTCGACTCTTTGTCTCGCTACTGCTATCGATCTCTCTGCCACTCTGCCCACTCCAGCTGACCCTCTTCCACTTTCTTCTCTCACTCCTCCACATTCTGTTCTTCTCTTTCTATAATGCTTTCTATAATTTCTCTGTCACTCTCTCATATTCTTTACATTTCCCCCTTCTTTTTCCGCTGCCTCCCTCCCTATTTGCCTCTCACCCCTGGCCCCCACAGTGCTGCGCTGCTTTCAACCCCCCTGTTCCCATCATTCAAACTCTTACTGCCCGCTCCACGCAGGCTCTCTCTCTCTCTCTCTGTCTCACAAAGCTTGCCTTCCCCTTGTAGTCGTATTTTACAAGGTTAAGTTATGATTTGTGGAAGTAAACAACTCCTAAGTGTCCTAGGGGAGCTCCCTGCTGCTGTGCTCTCCTTTCAGCCCAAAATGAAATGTGGTCCCAGCGCTGGTCTGTGCACTCGCTAGACTTTGACATAAATGCCAAGGAAACTATGTGACAGGCACTGGGGATTAAAAAGCAATGAAACAGGAAATGGAAACAGGGACAAACAGTGTCACACAGAAAATTTGCATTTGTCCTTGGCTTGTTGTTTGTGCACATGATAATATTTCTGGGAATATATTTCATTTATGAGAAGGGGCATGCAGTTTCCATGTCTTCATGATAATACACAGGTGACTTTGTCAGTTCGCTCACATTTCACTTCTCTGGATTTTAATAGAATCTCTTGTAATTGTAAAGCTTTGTCATAATCATAAATTCATTGAATCTCTCTCCCCTCTCCTCCAGGTGGTCGCCAGGGAAAGATGCCGGTGACAGCACTGGAGGCTTTTGACCTGGAGATGAAGAGCTGGACACGTTATTCCTGCATCCCCAGCCGGAGGGTCTTCTCCTGCTGTGCTTCAAATGAGCGAAGCCTCTTCAGCCTTGGGGGCCTCCAGCAGCCGGGGCCGCATAACTTTTACTCCAGACCTCACTTTGTCAGCACCACGGAAGAGTATGATCTGGATCAAGGTAAGCTGTTATTTAACCCTGAAGGAAGTCATGAGTTTAAGATAACATTTTTAAGGTCGAACTCAAGGGATGAAATACAGCCTGAAGGAGCAGGAGCTTTCTGGGTGATCCATTAAACTGGTTAGGCAGCGGTTTTGATGCTTTCACTCTCTCTTTCACTCTCTTTAAATGGGTTTGAGTATTGGAGATTAGCCCATTATAGTTAGATGGCAAGTATTTTGTAAAATTTTCTACCTGTCCAATAGTGCTATACCTGCCTGACCACCGCAAATAAGGTAAATGGTTCTTATACAGAGCTTCTCTACTCTGTCTTGAGCACTCAAAGCGCTTTACACAACTTGTACATTCACCCATTCATATCAGTTTGCACAATGCACCCTTTTCTACTGTTTCTAAGTGCTTCCTAATTTTTATCCACATACATTCATACTCCAGTTGATGCACCGGAGAACAACATGGGGTTAGTATATTGCCCAAGGACACTTGGCATGCAGACTGGACATGTATATTTACATAATTTCTTTCTCTTCCTCCCTCATTTTCCACCTCCTCATCTTTCTCACTTCAAGCATTATATAATGAACTGAGCTCATGGCTCTAACACATGAAAATGTGCATAAACATGCCTATTTATGTCTCATATTGTGGCAATTACTTATTGTCAGCAGATCAGACACAAAATTCTCCCATCTCCGGACAGGTGACAATGAGTTGGCTAAAGAACAACAAGAAGGTTGTAAGTTAACATTATGGCGGATAACATTAGGTTTGAGTATCCTAAAAATCACATTTTCCCTCTGAAAAACAATTTGATTACATTCTCACATCATAAGAGAGTTTATTCGCTAAGTGCCTGAGTCTATCATTGGTAGATCCACTTCAAAGAAAGTTTCAATAATCCCAGCTAACAGCAGCTAACAGCAGTGCTTACTGACAGAAATGTTCAGGATATCCTCAACAACTCACCTCGGTATCGCTGTAATCAGTTTGTCATCAATTTCGATGACACGCTGACTTATAGCAGACTCCCAGGACACCGGACAAATTGACACTGCAGTCATATTGACAGCTGAGGTAAATGACATTTGTCATACAGTGGCAAATGCATTTGAACTGGGATGTGAAAAAACAGAATTCAGTTTACGGCAATCAACAGACATGTGGAGTGCTCTTCCCACTCCCTTTCAATATGTAAATGAATCAGAACGGTAGCGATATTGAAATGTATTGATTTTTGTATAGTATTTTTTTCTCTTATTTTCTTTACTAAATGTACCTGTATATTGTGGTGGACAAATTTTACACACTGTGCCTTTAAAAAGGAGAAATTGCATAAAAGTTTAAAAGATAGATTAAACAGATATAAGCACAAACATATGCTTCCTTTCATAAAGAAAAAATAAAACAAACAAAGAATAAATAAATAAGGAAAAATCACACACACATACTTGCAATGATAATATAACAAATTATGTATTTATGTATGTGAATTATTGAAAATGTCAGGAATATTCTAAATTATGGAGCCTTATATTGCGTTATTTTAACATATACTGTTGTCATTTCAGTCTTGTGTCACAGCAAAGGCAGATAGTTAGAATGAACCACGTGTCAGCCTCACATAACACACAAAACTTTAAAAAACTACTCACATCCTTCCAGCTGAAGCTTTCTTATCGGGCTTTTCTTTCTGCACCATAGCTTGTTAAATGAGCTGCCAAACAAATTTGCACAGCTACGATCAGTTTGCACAGCTAATTACCTGCTCATGTGCAGCACATTAAACCATCAACAACTTGCATTTCTCTCCGGCTGGTTAAGATCAAACATATGGAGCAAATGTTCTTCATTTCAGTGATTAAAACACACACACGCACACAAAGGAATGACGAACAGTGACTTCAGCAGGACGGCAGCAGGAGTGAGAATTTATTTTAGTGCGTTAACAATATAATGCTTTCATTATTTTAGTGTAGTGTTTTAATGTTTTGAAAATGGCTTTGCTTCACCGTCCTTTAATAGTGTCTGTTTAAGTAAAGAAGGATCTCTCCTTTAATATGAAAAGGCTACAGGATGTTTAGTATTATCACAAAATGCAATAAGTTTAATGTGTCAAACAGGAACAGAGAGAAACAAGGCTTTTTACTACAATGAAGGGATTACAAATGCAAACCTGGTTTAATAAAGTACTTTCTCCAGTTGAGGTAACTAAAGTTCCAAGTCCACTTTTAGAGCACTTCATGTACTTATGCTTGATAGACATCAAGCATAAGTACAAAACATCATAATTCGAGACACCAGTTTCTTTCTCAGTTCCTTTTTGCTGCTGTGGTCTGTGTTATCATACCTCAGCTGGCTTAAGGTGTATAGGATCTTGTATGAATACAATGTATACATGCAGCGGTATCCTGGTTTCTTTCAAAATGCTGCAGCTTACAGGCTTAAATGTCATTTTGTTTAAAACTAACATAAACACAGGAATGGAGTGCTTCAGAACTTGACTGTAAGCAGGATACTCACCTCCATATAAGCTCACCTAATGTGCAGTTCGTGTTATGGATACTGCTGTGTTGTGCTAGTGTTAGGGTAAACAATATTCACATTCTTTCTTCTACTCCATTATTTGAAACTGTGGCACAATGGATGGCTGCTCAAATAGTCACGCCCTAACTTAAATTGTATAGGACAGCGGTCCACAAGCCAGGCCACAGACCAGTACGAGTTGAGGTTCAGGTGTAAATTTAGAGTTTTCAAGGTTTCTATTGTCAGATATAAGCCAGTCTGTGGTGCAAAAAAAGTTGGGTACCGCTGGTATAGGACCCATGGAAGGAAATGTTATGTTATGTGTTCAACAGGGAGCATATATGATGAGGGACCCTTCTGAGGAATGGAACAAGAGGAGCTGTGGCCACCAATGAACACTAGAAAATGTTCAGACATGACCTAGACCACTGCAGAGCCATTTGAGATATACCCACCCAGGAGTAATTCAGACAAAGCAGTCCA